AATGTCAAAAATCATGTCATTTAAACTGATAAAATACTTTGTAGATGTTTCGAGTACGTGATTTCCTCATGTTTGTGACCATGGCTTTGCTAATAATGGTCCAAATCAACGTTCAAGTAGATTGTGCGCCAGCTTATACCAGTGCTATTAAACCAGGTAACTTGAAATTATTATCATTAACTGATCTTAAATTCACAATAAAATACGGAAAGTTTTGTTAATATTTATTTTTCTAGCTTGCCAACCGTGTCCTCCGTGTCGTGGTATTGTTGCAAGACGAGTCTCATGCGACATCGCTTGTCCTGCATGTTATTATTAAGGAACTTAATTTTTTCCGAGACCTTTTAAAATTAATATCTCTAATTGACGTTATAATTATTTTATTCAATATTTGAATTTTTTGTAATAAAAATTTTCATGATTCATTAATTTTAAACTTTATATTTAATATTATGACGTCTTTAAAACTCTAAACTTAATATTCATGCCCAGTTGAAATGTCTTAATAGTCTCGCGTGTAGTAAAAAAACCATACTAATAATTAACCATCTATATATTATTAAAATAAGAATATTGAAATTTGTTAAAATGAGCTACACATGACAAAATAACATGCTTGCCTATATAATAGCATAGTAATAATGGGTTCCAATGTAATCATTGAAGAATCGGTTAAAATTTGAACTTGATCTAACTTTATAACAATAATATTATACGCAATTTACAAACTTCTAACATTCTATTTCTTCATATTTGATATAAAATTTACAGATATAATATAGAAAATATTCAACATTTTCATAAGATTTAATTGAATTTTATATTTATCTTGTGTATTTTAAGATATTAGTATCCTGATAATTATAGATACATTGGAACCATGGTACTAGACGTAAAATTATTAAAATTTAGTATATATGTTGTGCCTCAGATTAACACTTGCGTATCACGAAAACTCTGCTCTATAAATATTAAGTCCAAAGGATCGATTAATATTCTTAGCCTAATAACACGTTTCTTTTTTGAAAATATTTTGTAAGCTTTGTATTGAATTATTATTGAATTATTATTCTTTTTGGAAAGGTATGAAACTTA